TCCTCTTTGACGTCATAGTTCCCCACTTTGAAAAACGAGTCGTTTGCTGAGTCTGGTGTCAATAAAAGCTTTTATTGGACTAACAAGGACGTTTTCAGTTTTTAAACTTACAGTATATTCTTATAATATGATAAACTCTTAGATGTCAAAAGCTCAAGAAAAAATTTGATTTCTCAGTTCATCCCCCCTTTAATGTACCGTTTAAAGGCTGGTTTATGGAGCGGTGCAGGGATGACGTCAAAACCAGGAAGACTGATTTGCCACTGGTTCCCTCGAGATTTTCCTATGGCTTTTTCAATTTATGAGCAAAATAAGGTCTGTGGTAAACAACTTGACGACTCTTGAACTTGAAGTGGTCATTTTTCCATTTATAAAAAAACGTATGTTTCTAATAAGTAACTTTAAGAATGTTTGTGGTGTGAGTGTGAGCAGTTTCAGTTGTAGAACGTTCAAGCATCATCGAGTTATGTTCGCCACAGGCTTTATTTTACTCATAAATACTCATAAATACTATTATTAAAAACCCATAGGAAAATCTCCAGAGAAGCAGTGGCGAATTAGTCTTGCAGGTTTTGACGCCATCCCTGCACCACTCTTGGGAATAGACAATAATAGACCAATGTAAAAAAAAATAATAATAATAATAATTCAGCAAACAATGAACCTCTTCTTGGATATCTTGTTTATTCGCTGTGCCTCAAAAATAGTTTGAGACAAAAAAAAGTCTCACATAATTTTTTATCCAAAGTCACTTACAGTTCATTCTGAGTATTTTGTCAGAAATGCTATTAATGTGCTCCACGAGAAACAAACCTCAAACTGCTAGTTGAGCTGTTATGAACCATCAATCAGAATCCAGCCATCAAATCAGACTAGAGGCTGTCAGATTGTCAGCCATTTTTCTGTGCACCATGCATCAGATGGCCAGTGTGTGGTCCATGGGCACGACTTTTGAGGCACAGACTAGGTCAAACCTGGACTGCATTCATGCATTTTGCAGATACTTTCATCCAAAGCGACTTACATTCACATTTTATCAATTCAAGCATTCCCTGGGAATTGAACCCATGCGCTTGGCTTTTCTGGTGCAATGTGGTAATGTTTGAGCTACAGGAATGCTATACTCAACAGATTGGACACTGATGATAATCCTAGTCCATTTACACAAAGAATTACTGTGTTAAAATGAGTCAATAAATCAGCATTTCTTTAAATGAGCAGCAAACAAGACGGCAAGACACCTGGCTCCAGTCAATCACTACAAAACACACACCAGACCTATAGCTCAGATGTTTCCTGAATAGACCTGGGCATGTTGCACGGTGACGACTTTCAAAAAAGGTGATGAAAGACAATAAATCCTTAGGGCAATGAATCTGGGAAAGGAGATAAATGTGTCCATTGACCTTGTCCACCCTTTTCAAGGACTGAATAGACCGAAGGAGAGCACGCAAGCCTGAAAAATGAGACAGTGAGATGTGACCGAGTTAAAGACCTCTCGTGCTTTCATTGAGAGTTACAACTCGTTGTCAAACAGGGCCTGGTGTTTGGTGGAAATGGGTGATAACAGACGGGGAATCGTTTAGCATGCGAGGACAGCCGTCTCAGTCGACGGGTAATTACGAAGACCTAACTCTGCAAGGGAGGAAGAAGAAATGAAGGAAGCTATGTGGTTAAGATGGCAGGGAGAAAAAAACATGACAGGGACTTGTGGTGAATGTTTTACATTTTTAAATATTTTTTAAGGATGTGATTAATATTATATTAGTAAAAATATGAATAAAAAAAGGTTAAAAATGGGAGAAAATGTCTTTAAATTATAATAGCAGACTGAAGTTTGACTATATTTTTCACAAAACATTTAAAATGATTAAATTAGGACTGTGCAAAGATTAATTGCGATTAATCGCATCCAAAATAAAAGTTTGTGTTAACATAATATATTTGTGTGTGCACTGTGTATAATTATTTTGTGCATATATATATATATATATATATATATATATACACACACACATATGCATGCATATATAAATTTAAGAATTATTTGCACGTAAATACTGTATATACTGTAATATATAAAATCTATATTATATTTTAATATCAATATTTTCTATCTGAATAACACATTTTCTTAAATATATACATGTATGTGTTTGTATTTATATATATAAAATAATTATGCACAGCACACACACATATATTATGTAAACACAAAATTTTATTTTGGATGCAATTAATCGCAATTAATTTTGCACAACCCTAGATTAAATATGTTTAATGTGGGTTTTTTTGAGCCAAACTGTTTTTATTTTGTAATTAAACTTTTAAAGGTGTAGATTGTAAAAGGCTTTCGCAATCAATCAAATAAAAAGGGCAAAAATAAAATAATAATAATAATAAAATGATAAAATAAGGCAAAAATAAAATAATAATAATAATAATAAAATGATAAAATAAGGTATATGTTGAAAGAATTATAGCATTCTCCAAATTAAAGCAGACTGAGCTTGAACTATATATTCTATGAAACATGTGAATTATTTTTAATTACAAATTATAATGATCCTAATAAAGGATGGCTTGAAAAAGCCCATCCTTTCGAGGTGCCGTAAATTTCTCACACAGATCGTATGGCAGAAAAAAAAGTAAAGAAGCACATTGTTCATACGATTATGGTGCTTTTGCATATTATTTAAAGCTTGGAAGCATCATTAATTGCAACTTCATGAACCCCCCAATAAATGCTCTGTGAATAAATGATATCCTCTCATCAGTGTCATTCCAAGCAGCTCCTGTAGGGGGTGACACACTGTAACCTGCCCAGTGGCGAGACCTTTGAGCTCATGTCTGTTGTGGAGACAGAAATACTTCTTCCTCTGATCCTGCCTGCCAGGACCGCTCAACACGCTTCAGGTTTCAGGTGGCAACCATCGCTTCTAAAATGAAAGGGTCTCACTTTACAGTTCGGTGCCTCTGTTGGGCCTTCTGCGGCACTACCCACACAAACAAACAGAAACACACACTCGCAGAGACACATACTTGGGGCCCCTTCACACACACACACTCAGAACCTATAAACAGATGCTTATGACCTCCCTCTTGTCCTGCGACATCGATATCTCCCCTCAGATGTGAACATGCAAACATTTATAGAAACGCTGGATTTGATAAGCTCTGTGACTCAATATAAAAAGTGATTGTGAAAAAGAAAAAGACCGGCAGCAATTCCTCAAGGTTTCTCAATGCAACCAAACTCGAGTTACCACCAACCCCATGTTTAACAACCTCCTTTTGTGACAGAGAATCCAAAAAAAAAAAAACTCACCACAACCTCCAATTCATCAATACACAACAGCTCTGTATTTAAGATCACAATTAGAAATGCATAGCTGTATAAAATGTTCTGATCTATAATCATGGTGACTATTTGTAACTGCCTTAAGTGAAAACACTGCATGTATGCCAAACGCTTTCAGATTTTACGGCTGGTTCGACGTCCTGACTCCATGCTACGTGTATAATGTAAAATCAACAATATCATAAAATACAGGCCCTAATAAAAACTATCAGACTATATGACTTCTTAACGAATGAATAAAGTGCCCCATTGGTGTCTGACCAATCAGAGGACAGTTGACCAATCAAAGCAGAGTAGACCAATCACAAGAGACTGGGCCATCTGACCAATCAGAGCAGAGTAGACCAATCACAACAGACTGGGCCGCCTGAACAATCAGAGGAGAGTAGACCAATTCGACAGACTGGGACAGTTGACCAATCAGAGCAGAGTAGACCAATCACAACAGATTGGGCCATCTGACCAATCAGAGCAGAGTAGACCAATTCAACAGACTGGGACATCTGACCAATCAGAGCAGAGTAGACCAATCACAACAGATTGGGCCATCTGACCAATCAGAGCAGAGTAGACCAATCACAACAGACTGGGACATCTGACCAATCAGAGCAGAGTAGACCAATCACAACAGATTGGGCCATCTGACCAATCAGAGCAGAGTAGACCAACCAGAGCAGAATAGACCAATCACAACAGACTGGGCCATCTGACCAATCAGAGCAGAGTAGACCAATCACAACAGACTGGGCCATCTGACCAATCAGAGCAGAGTAGGTTCTCGGAAAAGAGGGGTTTAGAGAGACTCAATCTTTGAATGAACCGTTTTCAGACTCTTTGAAAAATGCGGTGATGTGTAGTGTATATTATGAGAAAAATGTTTTTTGACCTTGGATGTGTGTAAACCTGTTGTGAGACCTGCAGAACAAAATAAAGAACCTTTAAAATAGCATAACATTACTTTGATATGCTATTTTAAATAACTTAATTTATTACTTTTAATCTCTTAATTTAAAGGATGATTTAGAAGTCTAAAGAACCTTTTGATCAATTGTAAATGTTACATGCTAAAGGCTCTTAATGGAATGCCAATAAAGAACATTTGAAGAGTTCAGATGCAAAAGCCTCTAAATGCCATTTGAAGTTTTCTTCTTTAATGTTGATTTTTATCAAACTTGTAAATTTAAGTTCAGTAATTTCACTTAAATAACAATTAATAGGTAATTATCATTGCCATTTAAGTGAAATTACTGAACTTAAATATACAAGCTTGATAAAAATCATCATTAAAGAAGAAAATTTCAAATGGCATTTAGAGGCTTTTGCATCTGAACTCTTCATTTATTTTAGGAGTGTAGGAGGAAATCAATTGTCTTTATAGTTTAGCATCATTGTACAAAACACTTCGGTTGCTAATTGCTAGTATTCATAGTACAAATCTGATATCCAAATCTCAAACCAAAACCGGCGCAACTGTTTCAGTAATCCAGTCTTTCCATCTACAATCCTTTCATCAACATCACAGCTTTTCAATCACTGAACAAGTCATTGATAAATTTAGCACAATTTCTATCAGGTTTCATCCCAGAGTGGTGTTCCCGTATTTTAGAACTGGACAGTCAGAACAGATTGATGGACGTACCTGGAGGACAGTTGCAGTCTTGTGTCACGTCTCTCGCCACACGCAACTTCGGCATTGCTTCATTCAGTCTCTATTAAATACAACATGGAGGAAAGTAATTATTTCAATTTTGAGTAACATCTTAACAATCGGTCATTAATAAATTCCATATTGATTGAGCGGTAATCTGAATATTGGAAAGACTCTTTCAGTGTCAGTTGTCCTACACAATGGTTTTTGTAAAAAAAAAAAAAAACTCTAAAAAATAAATTAAATTTAAATTAAATTAAAATAATGTATAATGTAATAATACATTATACATTATTTTTATATGTAATGTAATATATGTATTACATAATGTAATAATGCAATATATATATATATATGAAACTTAATACTTAAAAACATAAGAACCAAAGAACAGAGTATACATTTGTTAATTGGAATAATTATGAATTTATTTTTAATAATAAATTATAATAAGTTGTGATTTAATCAGAAAAAAATGAAATGACACAAGAAACATGAAAGTGCAGAATATAGCCTATTTATAATCTTTACTAAGAATTTACCATTCAAATAAACACACTGTTTTAACCACATAAACGCACATTGAAGCATAGATAGATAGATAGATAGATAGATAGATAGATAGATAGATAGATAGATAGATAGATAGATAGATAGATAGATAGATAGATATTAAAAATAACTAATAATAACTTCGACTAATAATTAGCTATAGCTAGCTGTGATTTAAATTAAATTGGACAGAATCAGTAAAAGAAACATTTGGATGAAGTTGCAGCGTTCTTTTATAAAGGATAAAAATGCTTGCCTCTTGTAAGAGTGTCTCAATGGATTCCCGCAGTTCCTGAGAAACAGAGACGTCCATAGATGATTCTTGACAGATGTCACTCATCTTTATCTCCAGCGCGCGCAGCCTGCTATCCATCTGGTGCGTTTTAAAAGTCATGAGAAAACACACCGCTATTGAACTCAGCGATATCACTAAACACACTATGGTAGGAAAAGACACTAAATAACGCAGATAAAGCGGTTTCGCAGCATTCTGTTTGCTTTCTGTACTTCTTTCCTCAGAAGATGCATCCATTTTGCAAAGTCTCCGATTAGATTCCGATAGTTAGATCACTGAAGTATCGATCAGCTCTTGATCGATGAGATGTGGCTGTCAGACTGAGCAGCGCTGAACAGAACACGGGGCTTTGAACAGCATGGCTGTGTTTCAAAACCTAGAAAAAAAAGGTTGCGCGTGCATGCGACGCAGAGTGCTCTAGGTAGGGTGCTCATTAGGTATTGAGCACATGCATCTCTCTGATATTCAGCGGGGTGTGTGTGTGTGTGTGCCGAGCGTGAAACAAGGTGCACGAATAACCAGAGAGCGTGCAAGAATAAAACAATATTTAATATATGTATAATATATTTAAAATTATATCTTTTTTGTATACATTTTTCGGGTATTCGGTTGAGGTTTTTCTAGGAGTCATTCAAATCTTTAAACTTTTTTATGATATGTATTGATATTCCAAGCCTTTATTTGTTATCAATTTGAGGATTATGGCTAACAACTATGAAAACTTTTTCACAATATTACATTTTTGATTTTGGGGATTTCATAAGCCATAATCATCAAAATTATAAAAAAAAATAAAGGCTTGAAATATCTCAAGTTGCTTGTAACGACTCTATATTAGTTTCATGTAATATATTAGTTTTGCACAATATTAAACATTTTCTAGTGTCACCTGTGTAATCGACCACTGTGAAAATTTGTTTTATCAATGTTTTCTTCCAATGACTAAAAAAAAAAAATATGTATTTCTTATTTTCTTATTTCTATAACTTGTGCATAGTAAAACAAATCTAGTGTGTGTGATATATATATAAAAATAAATGCAATTAGTTTATAAAACTACACCCACCATGTTTTGACTGTCCTGAGGCGAGTCAGATCTACTAAATGTCTTTCCCCATTACTTTACTAAATCACAGGCCCATAAATGCCATGACTCAAAAGGTACAACTTTAAATTTGAAAGTTTAGAGTTGCATATAGCGCCACCCATTGACCACATGCAAACATTACACCACCATGAGACATGATTCAGATCAGGAACTGCTTTTATTTAAAAATCAAGTGAAACAAAACAGAAAAGACATTTACAAATATCACTAGGTTCATATTGATAATGCTAACAAATCTGACAATCATACTACACACCTAATACCCTAAAACCCAGCTGCTTTACACTTATATATTATCCTCAATCATGTGATTCAGTAACAAATCAGTGGCGAACTCAAGAGCAAGAGGTCACAGAATGAACGATGAGAAGAGCAGTACATGATCTATACAAAGGACTGATACAGTCAACTGAACTGGCCTCTCTCAGAGAGGAACTACAGCAAAACAAAAATCCACTATTTCTTGTTTTTCTTGATACAGTCGAAAAAAGGGTGTTTGATGGCTTCATCCAAGGTAATCCTCTTAGTGACGTCATATTCAAGCATCCTCTCTATGAGATCAAACAGCTGCTTGTGCTCAGAGCTACTGGAGGCCAAGTATTGCTGCAAGAAACAATTATTTTAAAAAGTCAGTAGCAATAAAGATGTTTGTTTTTATGTGCCTTAATGGCTTAAAGCAATTACAAAACTGACTAAAAACAAACTTGATAAATAGTTAAAAACTGATAAACTCACTCTCAGGGGCTTGCACTGCTTCCTGACGTAACGCCCCATGGAGCTGTGAATCTCCCAGTCCAGTTTATCATGACGAACATACCTGCTCTTCCTGCATAATGAGAAAAATTGCCATCTTGATACAACAAAAGCAGCATGTAGTTTTAAAAACTAATAAAAGGCAAGTTAAAACAAGTCAAACTACAAAATCATTAAGGAATAGCTTTTCAGATATCAAACAAGAATCCAACTCCTTTCGTTATGTTTTATGACTTTTCAGGTATCGGTGATAACCGGGTTAGGATTTCAGTAATTTTATAGATTTCACTCATTAGGAAGCAAATTCTAGTTCACAAAATAACATTGCTTGTTACATTACAGAGAATAACTAGATATATTTGACTTCAGAGTTACTTCTAGAAACCCTGCGAAAACACAGCAATTAAATACTTAATTGAAACAGTACCTTGTTTTTTGCAGCATGTGGGTAGGTATGGGGCCCAGCACTCGCTCCATCATGGCCAGATGCTCTTTACTGTCATGTGTCTAAACATTTTAAAAAACATACTAAATAAGTGCTGAATCAACAAGTCACATGCACGCAAAATTAACATATTGAACTATTTGAAACTCAAGTGACACGGACCTGAAACAGAGTCGATCCCAGATAATACTCGATAAGAATGCATCCCACACTCCACACGTCACAGGAATGACTCCAACCCAGATCTGCATGAAACAGAGGGATGTCTCTGTTAGAACTCACAATAAATCAGACCAAGTGTGCTATCAAAGTGTCTGAGAATGTATGAATAAAAACAACGCATCCATAAGTGCTTACCCAGAATAACCTCTGGAGCACGGTAATGTCGGGTGGACACCACAGATGTATGATACTCGTGTTCGTACGTTGCATTCCCGAAATCAACTACTTTTACATCAGGATTCTTCAGAGTTCTCTCATCCCTCTTCTGCAATTCAAAACAACATTATTAATTAATGCACAATAAATAGTGTCAGACCATGAATTAGCCATCATTTTTTAACTAAGACTAGTTCAAATGTTTTAGGAAACTGAACTAAATAAATAATTTGATAAAGGAAAATCTAGCATCTAATTAAGTTAACTTAAAGTTGTAATAAAATAAACGAAATAAATAGAAGATATATAGAAAAGAAAATGGCCTGCTTTCCCATACAGGGCTCAGGTTAAGCCAGGATTAGGCTTTAATTCAATTAAAACATTAGATTTTATAAAATGTACCTTAGATAAAAAAATAAAAATAAAAAATACTGGTGTGCATCTTGAAAATGTTATTGATATATTTCATGATATACTAATGAATGTTGATTTCAGTCAAGACAGCTCAAACATGCATTTTAGTCTGGGACTAGGCTTAAGCCTTATCGGTGAAAATGTGGGAATATTACTAATATATATATATATATATATATATATATATATATATATATAAACTACAATAACACTGGTCTGAATGAGATCATTGCCTCTCCTTACCATTTTTGAATTGTACTTGATGTCATACTCTGAATTAACAAAAAGGATGTTCTCTGGTTTCAGGTCAGTGTGTATCAGCTTATGCTTATGAAGAACTGAAACACAAAGAAAAGCAAAAGATTAAATCAGTGTTTCATCTTAAAACACAAAAATATTAGATTAAACGAGATCCTTGACTCACATCTGACTGCTCTGATGATCTGGTAGGCCATGTGCCTGATGTGGTTGATAGAGAAGGGCTGAAAACTATTTTCCTTCAGAAAATCATACGTGCTCAAGCCCAACAGCTCAAAGGCAATGCAGACGTGCCCATGGTGATCAAACCAGTCATACATCCGCACACAAGCACTAAGGAAAGGAAAAAGTAGATGTGAAATATTGCATTGCTAATGTGTAGTCTGGACATTTTTAGACCCAAGAGGCAGTAATTTTCAAAATAAGCGAGATATTCTACAGCCATGCATCACAGAGGTATAAATTAATGGAGATCTCCTTTTATCTGCTTTAACAGGTACTTACTATCGTCTGTCACAGTCAAGTGAGTTGATCTGCTCCAGCACCTCAACCTCAGACATGGCTGCATCACGATAACGATCAATGTTTTTAATGATCTTCAGCGCAACACGAGCTCCTCCCCTGCAATAGCAACATACAGTTACATCATTAACATATGAAACTACAGAAGTGCAATCACTCTTCTGTGTCGGCATAAAATGAAAATACACCTTATCCAGTTTGTTGATCTTATTGTAAACAATTCATTCATGCATGTTTCATTTCAGTCCTTGCAAGCTCGTATTCAGATCTGACTCAATACAATCAACAACAAATGGATAGAAGACCAAACCCAATCTATCCATCCATCTTTTTTTCAAAATCGATACTCTAAAATGATACCGGTGCCTAAACCAATTCTTTAAAAAGGAGCCAAAAAATGTAGATTGAAAAAAAAAAAAAAAAAACTTTACATTTAACAATACATTAAAGGTTTAAAGTATACTTAAATATAAGTAAATACAAAACAACAAATTTACACAACCAAACTACAATGATGCAACACTAAATAAGTTACAGTACTAATAATATACATTAGTGGAGGTGTGCATGAAACCACGATACTGGTGTTTTTTTCTTTGGGGTTTTTTAAAGCTATGCCCTTCTCGGTTTGCACTTTGTGCACGTGTATTATTGTTAAAGCAGCACTATGCAGCTTTTTTACCTTAACTGAATAGCTTCGGAGTTATTGCAATGGCTATTTCGGGTTGAATGAGAGCCATTTATGACAGTACAAGTACTCCACAGCGACTCTAGGGGTCACAGTTTGACAAGAACAGAAATCCTGCATAGTGTGGCTATAAATAAGTAAATAAAGATAAGACTTTTTATCATGGAGAGAGAGAGATGTAGTCCCCCATTTCAATCAGAAAGGTGTTAAAACACCAGCAAACGTACATGCCAGGTTCCTTGGTTCTTTTTAAGTTGAGTAACAAATTAAAATACCATAAAAGAGCCATTTAAAAACCTACGCAAGATTTAGATGTGAAATAAAGGTTTTACCTACAACAGGGTTATTTTAACGCAGTTTTTACATGCGTCACGTGTACGTCACAATACAGAGAGAAAGAAAAGATCTTACACTATTTCCAGTTTACTGGAACTGATTATAATTAATGTGGCTCAGGTATTAAACACAAATGCAAAGAATTTTAACATGCCAAGATGTGGAAGGAAGACTTACTTTTCATGATCAATGCACTCCACCACTTTGCCAAAGGCTCCCTCTCCGAGTGTGCACACAATCTCATCTACGGGTTTAAAGAAAGATGGTTAGAAACATTAACAAAAAGACACAATACAATCAAACCCTTTCAAAAGCTTTTGCTGCATTTTGGAACACTCAAATTTAACAATGCATAAATAATCCACGAACATAAGACAATACTAGACTGGTGATACACACATCTGAAAAAAGTCTAATTGTTCTGTCACAACTGCATTTATCAGGACCCCAAAATTAGCTTGTAAAATTAGCCTGACCCCAAAACAGAAAATAAGCAGTGAAAAAAATGAAAAGATACAGAAGAGATACAGAAAAGTGTGTATTCTATACATCTTGCTCTCAGCATGTCTCCACTGTGATAGATCAGGTGCCCTTCCTCATCATCCTCAATACTCCTGGATCTTTTCCTGCGATGGCTCCTCTGGGGTTTCGGAACACCATCATCATCACCACCATCATCATTAACCCATGAGAATCGAGGGGGACCAGAACGCGCCATTCATTCATTCACGAGTGGGGGGGAAGTGATTCAGCCCATTCAGATACCCGCAGCAGCCAGGCCCGGCCACAGGGAGCAGCATACGTAAATTCAGCCCGCGAGAAACACACAGGGCCCACCACATCGTGTGTGTTACAGAAGAAAAACAATGGCAACATATTTTCAGATGAGATACTTTCTCAGACCATTAAGTAGACAATTACAACAATTCATCATTGAAAAACATTTACGAGTTTTATTCCTCCATGAATGAGGTGCCTTAAAAACATTATGTGCTGTGGATATCAAACTAACATTACATCTTGAGTAAGAACCCATTAAATCTTATTATATGTCAATTTTAGCATAATCATTTCATCCAACATTCATCCTGTCATTCCTTCAGACAATATTGGCAATGAGGAACTCCATAATCCATATAACCAGAAAGAAAAGCACAGAAAGCAGACAGTTGCCACGGCAATGGGAGACGGACAGTGGTCATACCGAGTCAGAGTGATTATGCGAGCGACGGTGCCGGTGTCTGTGCCGGCTGCTCCGCCTGCTGTTCCCAGAGGATTTGCTGTAATGGTGCCAGTCTCTGTCTCTCTCACGGCATCTGGATCTGTCCCGATCTCGGTCTCTCTCCTTGTCTTTACAGGCAGCATGGCTGCCGTCCTCATGGTCTCTGAATACAGCTCGCTTCTCTTTAGTTTCCAGTCTTTCATTTGAGCTCCTTGTCTCAAGGTAATGCCTGTTAATATTAAGTAAATACAACACAATTCAATGAGTACTGACTGATTCACATTGAGCTGAAAATTATAAAGTAGTACAATCAAATCAATTAATCGTGATTCGGTTCAAGTTTTCAAATATATAATGCATGTGTGTGTATGACTCTCTCTCTCACACACACACACAGAATTTTCATTTATGGGTGAACTAAACCTTTAAATCATGTCTGAATTGATGGTACTGCCACATTGAGGTCGTGTCATTAAAATGTTTTCCAGGAAGCTTCCAAGAAAACAGCAAACTTGTCAAACCAGTATTACACACTGCCAAGATATGTCCACATAACACTTAATGGGCCTTGCCAAAGACCAGACGACCCTTAAATTAACAACTTCCTGGAACTTTAAGCATTTAATATTGGTATAAGATGTTCTCATAACATGTGTCGATTGAAAACAGTTTTAAATAAACACTGAGCATGCAGAGTCTTGTTCTGTTGGGGCTCCTGATTCTCACCCTTCGCTGGTCTTGTGGTGATCATGAACATGGTGTTTTTTTCTGTATTTATTCTCTCTCTCGCTGCTGTGCGAGTCTCGTCGGTGTCTTTTTCTGTTCTCCATTCTCTCCTCTAGACTCGTCTCTCTCAGCCAGGGAGAGCGCATTCTCTTCGATTGTCTCATCTGATAAAACAAACCAAATACAAATAAACTAACGTACTTTTTACATTCATTAACGTTACATTTTTAACGTATTTTCAGGCAAAATATAGGCCGCGATTCACAGAAACAGTGTTTGGCCCTTTAAATTCTTTGTTCTAAACACCTCGTGTCAACCAAGTCATTGCATAAAACAAATTATTTTGTAAAATGAGTCTAAAAATCGTTACACAATAAAAACAATAGTAATTTAAACCGAAATAAAGCGTATTATGCGATACTCATTGCACACTTACGACAAACAAAACACACACAGTGAGTCAGTAACGTCGTCGTTATCGCTTCTAGTAATATACATACACTTTCATTAAAACGAAATATTTAACGTTACATAGTGTGAGCGAAATAATTGTCAAATAATGAATATCATCATACCTGGCTTAAGAAAGTCACCTAAATAATTGCAGTCCTGCGTCGACAAAAGGCGAATTTGTTCTTCCTCCGTCTTCTCTGATGTCGTTTGTAGGTTCTAAAATGGCGTCCGTAGAGCTAGAATGTTCGAGAACTGCTCCGTTATATAATCATCGGATCGAGAGAGCGCGTGCGTGTAGTCGGGGGCGCGCGAGAATCAAGTGAATAAACATTTTATGGGGTGTTGCGCCATACAAATAACGGAAATTCATCACCTTATGAAATAATATTATTTGTTAGACCAATATAGACCTATTTTCTTTCTTTCTTTCTTTCTTTCTTTCTTTCTTTCTTTCTTTCTTTCTTTCTTTCTTTCTTTCTTTCTTTCTTTCTTTGGTGTTTTCTTCCGTCACTTACCTCTATTATAAATAAATAAATATTTTATACCAAAGTAAATATAAGTTAGGGTACCTAAAAAGCTTGATGAAATAATTTGTAATTATGCCCCATAGGTCATCATTATTTTAACCAATTAGCCTAGGCTCTACTAATTTATTATAGGCTACAATCCTTAAAATTATTAGGGACATAAATTAAACAGCCTGGCTCCAAACCAAATATATATATATATATATATATATATATATATATATATATGGGTGTGTGTGTGTAGCAACATTAAACAGCCTGGCTCCAAACCAAAATATATATATATATATATATATATATATATATATATATATATATATATATATATATATATATATATGTAGCAACATTGTGGCCGTTTACACATATATGCCCACAATGTTGCTTAAAATATCAAAAATAAAATATATATTTGGTTTGGAGCCAGGCCGTTTAATTTATGCACAATAAAAATGCATGTACTTTACTATGAGCCTTTTTTTGCTATAAAGCTTTTTTTACTATGCTTTTGCTATAAAGCAAAAAAGGGGAAAACGCTCATAGTATAGCAAAAAAGGCTCATAGTAACGTACATGCATTTTTATTGTAGGCCTAGTGTTTGCATAAACCATTTGTTAACTTTATATTTTTCTTGGTGTTCATGTTAATATGCATATATTCAAGAAATTACCATTATGGCCTAGTCTACATACACCATTTTAGCAACTTGCCCCTAATACACCCTAAACATTGCGATTATTAAATTATTACTTTGGGAAATTTATCAACATGTATTAAAAATTTATGACAGCCTCGATCTTTGACTCCGTCATCCAAACAAACACTAGATGGCAGTAAGTTGTTCTCACATGCGAGAACGCGACCTGAAGAAGACGCTTCACCCTCAAGAGTTTTGCTTCCGGTGTGCCGCGTCCTTTTCCTCTTTCCACACCGTGAGAGATAGGGAGGATTTGGCCCTCCGACAAAATCCAACGCCATCCACCTTTATAGGTGATTCTTTCCTGCGCCAAAATGACCGAGCAGATGACGGTAAGGGGTACCCTTAAGGGTCACAGTGGATGGGTCACCCAAATCGCCACAACACCCCAATTTCCCGACATGATTTTGTCCGCGTCCCGGGGTAAGTGTCCACAGAGCCGCGCTTGAGCCAAATGAGTATCCGAATACATGAACCCCTTTAAATGACCCTAAGTAATGAGTAATAAGTCCATTCTGCTCTAGTTGTGTGTAAAACCGTTAGTAATGGTTCATAATGTATCATTAGTGAACGCTAGTAACTAGTGTACGTGTGTTTTGTGTGCCACTAGTTGCCAAAAATCTGCTACAAATGAAAGCTTACGAGTCAAGGATCTGGGGAATGATCTTCTGTTGTCCATCTTGCAGACAAGACCATCATCATGTGGAAGCTGACCCGTGATGAGACCAACTATGGCATCCCCCAGCGTGCTCTGAAGGGCCATTCCCACTTCGTGAGTGATGTTGTCATCTCATCTGATGGTCAGTTCGCCCTGTCTGGCTCCTGGGACAGCACCCTGCGGCTGTGGGATCTGACAACGTGAGTATTTGGAGGGACAGTTATGGGAATTCACTCAATCTATCATTTATTGGTTTAGAAGTGGTGATGAAACTCAACGCCGTCTGTTTCACTGTGATGATAAAAGAGGCTGTTTCTGAACTTAACCATCACCTAAATAATGTGCTTTTGTATTTTAATGTAGGGTGACCAACTGTACTGTTTTCCCAGGACAAGTCCTGTTTTCAAATAACAGTATCACAATTTTCTATCCATACAGAGGAGGCATAACCTACTTTAAATGTATTGAAATTAATAAGGTATTTTTGAGTAAACTTTCTAGTATCATTTGAGTAGGCCCATCTGTTTGCCGGGCCGGGTGTCCTGGTTTTTGGTAATCAAAATATGGTCACCCTATTTAATGGACCCCAAATATTATCATCCTCAAATGAGAAACCCCAATCCTAATATTTAAAAAAGGCATGTTGTATAGAGACCCTATTTTTACTGTTGGAATGAATAATGGAAGTCATGAAATGTTTTTTGTTTTCATATCACTGTTTGCTTAAGTGGTTATTTACACTACGTTTAATCCCTTTATTCATTCTTTTAATTTAATTTGCAGTTTCTGTAAACATTTCTACAGATGTTATGACAATCATTATTTCAGAATGTGACTCATGGGTATTTATTGGAGGGTGATGCACCAAAATCTCAATATTGTTGCATAAACTAAACACATTTTTAGTCTGCCCAATTTTTAACTTTATGAGACAGAACGTTTCTGAACATCTAAATTATGTACAAAATTAGTCTTAACTAAGTTGATTTTTATAAAATACTTTCATTTCTTATATTTTTTGTTGAATGCTGAATTTGTATCTGCTATGAAATAACTTTGTGAAGCTGTTATGCAATAAACTTACTATAAACATCCCATAGCCATCATCTATCTGGAGTGACAGGTTGTAAACATGTACTGGCGACTTGATGTCATTGATCTGAATTTGTCCTTTTGTCTCACCTAGTGGCACTACAACCCGCCGTTTTGTTGGACACACCAAGGATGTTCTGAGCGTGGCCTTCTCTGCTGACAACCGTCAGATTGTGTCTGGATCCAGAGACAAGACCATCAAGCTGTGGAACACCCTGGGAGTCTGCAAGTACACCATCCAGGTACACATCTGTAAGGTTGGAGTGGTTAACCGAGAGACTTGCACATCATCAGGGTTCTTTTGGGTCCCTAAAAAAAAATCTTAAAGTCTTTAATTTAGCTTGATCAAATATCTTAAGTGGTAGAACAAAACTCTTAAAGGGATACTCCACTTTTTTTTTTGGAAATAGGCTCATTTTACCACTCCCCCAGAGTTAAACAGTTGAGTTTTACCGTTTTCGAATCCATTCAGCCGATTTTATGATATTTAAATATATCAGTAACCAGACAGTTTCTGGTCTCATTAACTTCCATAGTAGGAAAAAAAAATACTATGGAAGTCAATGAGACCAGAAACTGTCTGTTTACCGATATATTTAAATATCATAAAATCGGCTGAATGGATTTGAAAACGGTAAAACTCAACTGTTTAACTCTGGGGGAGTTGTAAAATGAGCCTATTTCCAAAAAAAGTGGAGTATCCCTTTAAATTTGGGGAAGGAATAACGAATCGTGATATGGCCTAATGTGATTATTTATAGAAAGAGCAAAAGTGGATTTAATTCTATGGAATTAAATGTGAATGCTCAACATTCCTGGGTAAAACCTGTTTAACTGCTTCATATAGTACATAATTTAAATGCGTGTGTGTATATATCAAGCAAGGCACAATACATGGTTTCAAAGCCACTTTACAGAAAATGCTTGTCGTTTTGGCAAATATTTCGCAAGTATTCTGTTATTAGTCAGAGATCAAATTAATGTCTAAATGGCAGTAATATCCAGCTACAGTATGGTATGTGCTTAGATGCATGTATTCAGTTGAGCTGACACAACAAAATACTCTTTTATATAAAATTTGTGTTGATCCAAAGTTCCCGACATATGAAACATTCGCAATTGATGCCTGAAAACATCACAAAGACTGGATCTGGTGCAATCTGTAATCTATAGAAAAAGAATTAGCCTAGCTGCTTTTCATAGCATTTTAGTCTAAAGATGATCATGTATTGTATGGTCTCATCAGATAAAATAGTACACTTTATGAATGCTTGGCTAAAGAAATGCATTTCATCTTGATTTAAACAGAGTGTCTGAGCCCTGAACATCATCAGGAAAGCCTGTCTTGAGAGTTTGAAGCGTGCAGATATTGATTTTATGCCCCAGCCTGTTTATACATGATACATGATTGATTTTTGAGATTGTATGGGTTTGTTCTGTTGACCATACCATTATAATTTTATTTGTGCAGGTCTTAGAAATTTGTGCTGTTCTGAGGCCCTTTATTTTGACTTTCATCCACAGGATGACAGCCACACTGAGTGGGTTTCATGCGTGCGTTTCTCTCCCAATAGCAGCAACCCCATTATTGTGTCCTGCGGGTGGGATAAAATGGTCAAGGTGAGACCTGTGGTTGAATTTTTAAATTATTTTTTTGTAATGACTTTACCCTGTGATTAAAGAAATATACATTAATATTTTCTGAGCTCTTGGGCACTGTTGACAAGTCCTGCAATTATGATGGGTAATGCATTGAAACCATTAACATGCAAGTGAATTAGGAATGGCTTATATTTGCTTCAGCCTAATATTTGCTAATATAACCATTTTGATTTATGCATGTTTGTTATAGGTATGGAATCTTGCTAACTGCAAGCTGAAGACCAACCACATTGGCCACACTGGATACCTGAACACAGTGACCGTGTCTCCTGATGGATCTCTGTGTGCCTCCGGTGGAAAGGTAATCCGTTTATTATTACTACTGAAGTTAATGGGTTGGACATGAGGGTGGAGTGTTAAAGAGATGATGAACCTTACCAAACGCCATCTAAATTCATGTGATGACAAGAGGCTGTTTCTGAACACACAGTTGTGATATCAGTGAGATGTGTTTGCTTTTCAATCTGTATTTACTGTGTTTGTACTTATTTCAGGATGGGCAGGCCATGCTATGGGACCTGAATGAAGGCAAGCACCTTTACACCCTGGATGGTGGGGACACCATCAACGCCCTTTGCTTCAGCCCTAACCGCTACTGGCTGTGTGCCGCCACTGGACCCAGCATCAAGATCTGGGTGAGTTTATGTGAATACACATAAATAAACTTCCTTTGAATGTAAAGGGCTTTATCTTCAATATATTTTTAAGTCGGCATGAAATCAAAGTTGTGATAGTCTTGTGAAATGACTTCTCAAACAAGTTAGAGTGCAAGTTAAGACTTGATTGGATGGTTGTGGTTTGAGTGACAGGATGCCCCGCCCTCACACAGTAAACGCCTCGGAGAGGAGACGCTGCAGTTATTTTGAATAGTTCGCGTGAAGCAAACTAATTTGTGTCGATTGAGTTCATGCCAATTAAAGATTTTATGGACCGATAAATCATAAATACTGCAATGTTCCTTTAAAACTAATTCAGTTTTGATTTCATGGTGACTTTTATATCAGCGCACTGGGTTCAGTGATGAAACTCTAAACGCCTTCTGTATTTCTATGATGATAAAGAGGCTGTTTCTGAGAACTAATGGTTCGAGCAGAAATGGCATTTTCATTCTACTGTTGCAAAGCTTGACTGTATTGTCTCAACAGGATCTGGAGGGCAAGATCATAGTTGATGAGCTGAGGCAGGACATCATCACCACCAACAGCAAGGCTGAGCCACCTCAGTGCACTTCTCTGGCCTGGTCTGCTGATGGACAGGTGGGTTTTGAAGCAACCTGGACTTGCACTTCATCTGATTTGGTGTCTTGCGGGTGCTTTTTGGTGCCTAAATTCTGGCTGGACCAGCTTCCCCATTGATTATTCCCAATCACTTTTAACATCTGAAACCTTGTGATGTCAGTCCTGCAAATATGAGGGGATTAGTGATATGCTTTTAAATCAATAGTTCGTTTAAAAGAGTGTCTGATTTATAATTCCTTTCTCTTTTCTCATCACAGACTCTCTTTGCTGGCTACACTGACAACCTGATCAGAGTGTGGCAGGTGACCATTGGAACCAGATAGAAGCCTTTTCTAATGCCTGAATAAAAAGTTTTAAAAAGAGCTATAATTGACTGTTTACTTTCTCTGCCTTTCAATAAACTAAAAACTGAAATGTAACCTTGCGAGTCACTGAAATAGGCTTTTACAGCCAGCAGATGGCACTGCTGCATGTAGATTTAAGTTTTGCAACTGTAACCTAGCAACAAGGCTAACAAACCAGACTGCTCATGTCGCGACATGATACAGACGGCTGAATTAAATAAACTATTATTTGGGTTGAAGGTTAAAACGTGTTAATTGTGCTTTCACTCTGGTAACTAAGACTATTTGTACTTTATAATTTGAGTGACTCCCTGGCAATTGAAGTTACTTCGAATTTAACCGTAAAGTCTAGTAGGTTACAGTAAAATTGTGTCAAACTAGCATTAGCCAATTTAAAGTTATGGATAGCGACAGTCCTCAAAAACAGATGCCAGAACCTCGTATCTTCGTGGAGAGAACTTTGGCTTTAATCAAACCTGATGCCATCAACAAAACTGATGAAATTGAGGACATTATTCTTCAGTCTGGATTTACAATTCTGCAGGTATGTTAACTTGCTAAGTGGAAAGGCACTGCACATTTAAATACTTTACATGATGCACACGATGTTTTCTGGTAACTTAACTGACACGTAATAAATTTTAGTTGTATTGTGAACCTAAGACAGTCACGTGATGTGTTTTGTCACTAGCTGGTAGACGCTCTAACGTTTTAAACTGATTGTCCACCCCAAAATGAAAACTAAGTAATTACTTAGTCCCTCAAGTTGTACCAAACCTGTATGAGTTTCTTTCTTATGCTTAACACAAAATCCATTTAGAAGAATATGGGTAACCAGACTGGTCCAGACAGTTGACAGTACATCGGTAGCTATAGACATCCATAGTAGAAACAAAAGACCATGGTGACCAATTCTTTAAAATATCTTTTTCAGCAGAAGAAAGAAACTTACAGGTTTGAGAGTAAATGCTGACAATTTTCATTTTGGGGTGAACTATCCTTCAAGCAACAGCAGAAATATACTCATTTAGCTCATATTTTGTGGGCAATGATAGTAGTTTAGCCAGATTTGCATTCTTGTTTCTCATTTGACAGAAAAAGCGGCTTCAACTGAGTCCAGAGCAATGCAGTGATTTCTATGCTGAGCATTATGGAAAGCTGAATTTTCCCCATCTGACCGCCTTCATGAGCTCCGGACCAGTAGTTGCTTTAGCACTGGCCCGACACCAGGCTATTGCCACCTGGAAAGCCATAATGGGACCAGTCAGCAGTATAAAGGCTAGAGAGACACATCCTGACTGGTAATGAATGTCATTGAATGACTCTTCTCTCTCTATGCAGGTGGTTTAATAATAAAATGGTTGACTTATGAAGCTAAATTCTTATGTACTGTCGAGACAACTATGACAGTTGCACCGTTTTGTGTTCCATTCAAACTCCAGGCCAAATAAATTGATTGTTTTGTTGATTTTATACACTTCAGGCTAATAATTTACAAAGCTGATGTTCATTCCAGTGCCTAAATCAATCACATATCTCGTTTCTGTCATTGCAACAAGTCTATGTTAAAAATGCATACACGTCATGTTTCAAAGTAACAGTCCATTTTTTAATTTTTTTTTTTTTTTCTCTTTCTGGGAAATGCACATCAACACTGAATGGCACCATCAGTCTGAGAGCCAGACTAGGCACATGTGACCTGCGCAATGCTGTACATGGCAGTGATTCCTTCTCTGCTGCTGAGAGGGAGATCAGATTCATGTTTCCCAACTGTGAGTGAATTTAACTCTGAACAAATGAGTTTAATGAACAATATTTGAAAGCATAATAAAAATCTGATTTCTATTTCAGCTGTGATTGAACCCATTCCTATGGGAGATGCTGCCAAAGATTACCTGAGCCGGTATGTTAGCCCAACACTTCTCACTGGACTGATGGAGCTGTGCAAGAAAAAGCCAATGGACCCCTATGTAAGTGTATCTTTTCATATAAAAGTATTTAAAAAAAATATTTGGTATTCTGTAAAAAGATTCGGTAACTTTAATTTACAGTTTTATTTTGACACTGTGAAATGGTGTTACTGAATCTTTTTAGATTTTATTTTTTATTCTTTATCTACTATAGGGTTGTGAGGGTTTGGTTTAGGGTTAATTTCATGTATTCATAATTTATAAATATTACTACAGTAACTGCATGTATAATGATGTTGCATATAGTTAGTAATTTTTATGAATGATCTATAATTACTGCACATGAAATGAACCCTCATCCTAACCCTATAGTAGATAAAGTTTCTTTTTTTTAATAATTCTAAAATTAGGTAACACTTTATTTTTAATTACTACTATAATAATTGTTATTACTCTGTACTTAAATGTATAAATACACTGAAATACTGACACCTTAAAATAAAGTGTAACCAAAGATTCTTTAAAATTTATAATGCTTTTTTTTCCCAAAAGAAAAGTCAGATCTTAGGAATTATATGGGGACAAAGAAATAATGACAACTGAAATTTCTGGGTGAATAATTTCTTCACCTGAAAACTGTAATGCCCTTGGTCACCCTGTGCACAATTGTTCAAAATAAATTCAATTGGATTTCAGCTATCGGATTGGATCAGATCTTGAAAATGGGTTGATCAAAAAAAGAAAAATATTATTCTGAAATCAGATTACCGGTAGATCACATAATCGATTCGAAATATCATGGTTTCCCTCTTAATTAAACCTTCAGTATGTGTTCAAACTTTTCAGGATTGGGATACCTTTGATATAAAAAATAATCTGGACAATCCTGATCCCACAAGATGGTTGAATTCTGGATGGATTTCAGGAACAAACACTATAAAAATGGCTACAACAATAATTACTAATAAATAATAAACTTTAACAAACTTTACATCATGCTTGCAGTATATATCAATTTACATTTTACATTTGATTTAACTGTTACAGTGATATAGCAGTAGACTGTGAATTAAAATAAAGTTATTTTATTTTACAATTAAGTTTTTTTTTATTAAACCCCCCAAACAGCTATCAATATCAAACAAAAACAGGCATTCATGGCTGTATTAATTATAACGAAATGGTCAAAAGAAGTTTCTAACAATTGCATCCCTTGCTGCATGTATATTTGTTTGTATTGTTTTATTGTGCTGTTTTCTCTCTTAACATAAAAATACTTTGTGATCCCATGCTGACTGTTGGATCTGTTGTTCTTTATACAGCTGGTAGCCATCTTTGTAATATGTAGTCCCATTGTGCGTGATCCAATCTAATGTTGCTTTATGAAACTGCATTCTGAGTAAAATAGATTACCTGATCCTGGATAAGACTGGGATGTCCAAATATTAATCATTCTGATTCAGATTAAAACCTCTTGAACAACTGTGTTCTGGATTTTCTGATACATCTATTGCTATTTACTCATTTATTTTTGTACTGCATTATTTTTTCCTTTACAGACATGGCTTGCTGACTGGCTGATGAATAATAACCCAAATAAGCCCAAAATATGTGATGGAACAGTAGTAAAGGAGGCAGTCTGATTTGTTTTTCAAGCAACAAGAATTTACCAACACGATACTGTCTTGATTTATTTTGGATTTTGTTCTCATATAATTTAAACTGCTTTATAAAATAAAATGTTGTTTTTAAACAATGTTATTTAACCCTTGATTTACTGTGCTATCAAATATGTTTGCTTATGTCATGTTTAATTAAAATGTAAGATAAAATTGCACATTTACAGTATTTTTTTTTTGCTACAACAGTAGATGGCCTATTCTTACACATTAAACCCGTGCTATTTTATACATTTTTACCCTTCTGATGGCGATAAACAAACATTCAACTCACAATTAATGTTTAATATTAAAAAAAAACTCAACAGAGTGAAATATAATTCTACGATCTCAACAACAAAATGCATGTTAGCATGCTAATGATTCAAATTCCTATTGCAAATGTATCTAACCTCTTCGTACTAGTATTTTGACTAAAGCATAGCTCATACAAAATGGCTTTTTCTTGCATTATTTTCTTAGCCGAATGGTATTAAAATATAAATAAATACACTTAATTTTATGTACAAGTGGTCAACAACATGTTTACAAACCAAACAAGAACAAAGACTTCCCCCACTCGACACGAAGAAGGTTCAGAGGAAGCGCGTTTGGGGGAGGATTTCTGTGACGTTTAAAGACATATTTAATTGGCTGTCAGGTTGATAGGCGTTCAAAGTCATCCAATCAAATGTGCCCTTACTAAAATTCCTTTATCTACCATCCAGTAATATAAAACTAACCGCTTGTCGGCGCAATAAGGAAGGGCCCACACCGCGGAAAGCGTTCCACGGAGACTTTTCACTTGCTGCTTTTAAGGTAAAGTATTTACGTGTAAATTATGAATTTATAAGCCTTAATATGCGTATTTAGTCGGGTTAACCGTCGTATTTAATTCTAGGCCAGTAAAGTTGTGTATATGTGAATTAAAACAACGAAATGTTTACATTCTCGTTGCGAATGAGAATGTAACCGCCGCTGTTCAAAATGGTGGTGCTTGTGCGTTACATAAGGCGCTTCCTTTTGTGACCATCACACATTTTCTGCAGTTTTAGGTTTTTACATTCAACTACCACCATGTCAGACGCCGAACAGCAGTATATGGAAACCTCAGAAAACGGCCACGAGGGCGAGGACGATCTGAACGGAGCCGGGCAGTACGAGGAGGGCAACGGGAGCGCACAGGCCGGGGCGCAGGGGGACGCCGGTGCGGACGAAACGGCCGGGGATGAAGACGAAACTAGTGCATCGGATGGCGGGCAAATTGACGCGAGCAAAGGAGAGGAAGATGCGGGGTATGTTCGAGCAATAATTGTGCTAAATGCTCGGACATAAAATCCTTTGTTCCTTCCGTCTTTTGTTGGCGCCATGTGTCTTTTTTTTTGTAGGGGGATGGGCGAATTTGGTGAATTGAGAATAAAGATAACTTACGGTTTAAAATTCATTGTTTACTTCGTCCTATGATTTTGTGTTTTTGTGCGTTCAAAAATGTATCTGTTGTTTTGCA